GATAATCCATTGCAATAGCCACACAGAATTCATGGACCATACTCACCTTTGTGGGCTTTATTAGGGAAGTTATCAGGTTACAATTCAGGGTCCGACATGCTCAGGATGTAGTTCTGATTAGACACGGCTCTCTCTGGTCCTTGGCTTCTTCGTGTGGCCCCTTGGTTTCTACCCTGCTCAGGCAATATTGCGGAGCTCTGTGGGTAAACGCCCTGAGGGCACTCCACTCCTTCCTAAGCCTCAGTCTGAAGGTGATCAGCAAACTTAGTTTCCCCAATTGCCTGGAGGCACCCTGCTCTGAAAGCGAGCCTCCTGCCTGCTACTTGCTCAGTGGGCTGGTGGTCCATCACTCTCATCTCATCCTTGGACTCTTGGTTCTGCTGCTGCGGTTCCTCAGCTCCTCTTCTGGTTCCCGAGCTCCTTGTCTTCTGAATCAGAGGGGTGCAACACACAGGGATCTCCGTGTCTAAAGGAGGTGCTCCAATCCTGGCTCTTCTGTCTGAGATGGTTCATTTTATACCCAACAGGACAGCAAAACTAACCGAAGTAACCAGTCCCCGCATTCGAGTTCTTAATATTTATACTTGGAATTAGCCTTGTTAATAATCACTCACAACTGAATCAGAACCGACTCGACAGCACTTAACAACAACAACAACAAGATGCCACATGGCCATTTTGACATGGTGTAAATTGAGTTGTATAACCCTGTATAGATTTGTGGTTGCTAAGTGCCATGGAGTTGGTTCCAACTCACAGCGACACTGTATAGGGTTTCCAAGGAGCAGCTGGTGAATTTGAACTGCCAAACTTGCTGATCAAACTGACCTTGAGGTCGAGTGCTTATCCTACAGTGCCAGATGGAGGTTATGTTGAGAAACGTTAACTTCACATTGTGGTATTTTTGTTGAATAAAGGTTCCTATGGTTTTGTAGCAATCCTTTTTGACTTACCCTCATAGGTGCGCCTGACCCAAGTCATAATATTTCAAGTCACCTCATATGCATATAAAAGTTGTACAATGAATGAGGAAGACCCTAGATGAATTGATGCATTTGAGTTACAGTGTTGGCAAAGACTATTAAAAGTACCACGGATTTGCAGAAGAACACGCAGATCTGTTGGAAGAAGCACAGCCAGACTGCTCCTTAGAAGCCAGGATGGCCAGACTTGGTCTCTCATTCTTTGGACATGTTATCAAGAGGGGGACCAATCCCTGGAGAATTGCTTGGTAAAGTGGAGGGTCAGGGAAAAGAGGAAGACCTCCAGTGAGATGGACTGGCTCAGTGGCAGCAGCCACGGGCTCGAACGTAAGGATTATGAGGAGGGCGCAGGACTGGACAGTATTTTGTTCTGTCGTGCGTAGGGTCGCTATGAGTTGGAACCGACTTGATGGCTCCTAGCTGCAACAGTGTATGTTTCTGGGTGTGAGGATGAGTGTCTGATGGAGGTGATGTCTTCCCATACTAGCCCCCTGGTCTCTGCTCCCGGTGACTCTCAGCTAGTTAGTGCCTAAGAATATAAATGGACAGAAGGTACTCAATTCAAACAGTATGTGAGATGGTCACAGGAATCCGGGGGTCTTAGAGATGGCTGTAGGCTGATTTTGGTTGGGAGGGGAATTGACTATGACACTTAAGGTCCACAGCATCCTCGCAGAGTGGACGCTGTCTTCCCCACATTAGGGTGAAAAGACAGACGCTTCAACTGGGAAGAATATGCCCAAGGCTCCTCAAGTGTGTAGCATTCAAACTGGCCTCAGAACTATTCCTTACGTCACTGATTTATGAGGAGAAGGCAGAAAGCACTGTGCCCGGGGACAGGGAGCCAGACACTGAGATGGGAGGGAAGAAGAAGTGTGCTGGACTCAATGAGGAGACCCACCTGGCCACGGGAAGACTCAGCGTGGCAGGTGTGGAAAGTGGACTGAAACCTAGGACAGGTCAGCTTATGGAGGACGCTCCTTCACGCCTGCTCCTGCTCCTGTGGCAGGATGGTGAGGATCTGCCTTGTCTTTGAAGCAGGCTCCTTTCCTGTTCTAGTCCTCCTGTCCTCTCAGCTCTGGTGCTTGGGCAACCTTTAGAGGGCGAGCGCTTGCCTGGCCGTGAACTGGAGGGATTAGCCGGAACCAGCTGGATAAAGTCTCCTAGAAGGTTCACAGTATTGCAGTAACCCCTTCTTGGGCTGCAGGCTGCCTGGTAGTCTGCCCCAGACAATTTCATCATGGGTGTCAGGGCCCAACAGGGTGCAGGGGCCCAAAGTACTGCTCTGCCACAACACCCGAACGACAGGAACCTTGGACAGCTACTTTGCCTCTGTTTCCTTATTAGCAAATTTAGGCATCTCATAAAATTTTGTCTAGATTGATGCAGGAGGGCTGGAGACCTTCACCATTTCTGTCAGCCCTCTGTGCTAGGACCTTGTGAGTTGCCCCCAAACCAGCTCTCCAAGAGGAGGTTCTTGAGTTACTGGTCAGAAACAGGCATGGGGGCCTCCCGCTGCTCTGTGTGGGCAGGGCTACAGCAGACAAGACCATTTCCCAGCGAGCCTCTTGTCTCGGAGCTAAGAACACTCCCCTTCCTATCTGAGCATCTCAAAACTGCAAAGGGTGTGTTTCATCTTTGGAGCAACCAGCAAATCATCCATCAAAAGTGACTCATTGGCTATTATTACCCTGTCCTTGAGTTAGTGAAGGACTGGCAAGGGGCTGCTATGGTATCTGTCTACTTCCCCTCCAGAAGCTTGCTTCTGGTTGCTGTCCATCTTGGACTAGACTCAGGTGGTTTGTCAATGAAAGCATCTTTTAGTTGCATTTGGTCTGGGTAAATTGCTCTTGCTAATACTTGGGTAATCTTTGCTGCTTTTTTTTTTTTAAACCTAGGTTTAGGACAATGATTAGAGATGATGGATGGATGGTGGGTGGGTGGAGAGCTAGAAATTCTCCCTTGTCCTGAGAATCATAGGACACAAAACCGCTTTGCTTTCCCCTTCCCAGTGAGCAGACAGACTTCAGTGAGGAACTTTACAGAACAGAGAAGCTTCCAGAAAAGGGCCTGTCTTGTGAGATAATGTTTGTGTAGCTGGAGACACTTCATAAAGGACTTCCCACCGCCCTGTGATAGAGACATGGATCCCTTATCAGAGAACATAAGGAACCCGCCGACAGTCACCCAGTTGTAAGTGGCAGATCTGGGACTTAACCGGCTTATTTAATGATGCTCAGCTTCTTGTTTTCTGTCACATCGAGGTTCTTCCAAGAAGCTGCCAGCACGTGAAATGTCCCAGGCTAGGACCCGTCAGGAACACCGGTGAGGACATTCCTGCGTCTGCTTGGTCGATGATTGCTAGATGATTTGAGGGGCCATGGGGTTTCCCCAGATTTCTTCCTCACTAGTCAGCCTGCCTCCATTTGCCTGCAGGACTTGGCCCAGAGTCAAGCTGTGATCCAGGAGCTCTCTTCACCAGTTCCACCTTCCCATGAATGCACACTCTACATCACTTTTCTCCCAGCTAGAAGGTGGAGGCAAAAACAGAGGCATTCAGCAAACCTTTTTGAGTAAGGAGGCTGGTGATTTATGGGTTAGACGCTGGACTCCTGCTAGGTCAGCAGTTCAAACCCACCAGTCACTGTTTGGGAGAAAGATGAAGCTTTCTGCTTCCTTAAGGATGTAGTCTTAGAAACCCAATACAGGGTCGCCGTGAGTTGGAATCCACTTGATGGCAGTGGCTTTGGGTTTTTTGGGTTCTGCTTTGTGGGGTTCACCTGATCCCACCCTCTCAGAATTTGTGGCTCTGTGGGGGAGGCAGCGCGCGCTGTAACTGGTAATGCAAAGGTGAGAGAGCAACTGAGTGTCCCTGTGGACAACTCCTGGCCCTGGCCAGGTGCAGGCGAGGGACAGTGGGCAGCATGGGAAAAGTACAGGATGGATGGAGTAGGCACCTGAGCAAGAGAGCCTGGTGGATTTTGGGAACTGTGGATGTCTGGCTGAATTTGGGGGCTTGTGAGGAATTTTAATGGAAGGGACAGCTGGGCGTTGAACTAATGCAGGGTCCAAATTGGAGGGGAGGAAGGGGAATTAAGGTCAGCTGTAGAAAACCTGCACTGGCAGAATCTTCTGGAAGGAACAGAAGAGGGAAGAGTAGGAAGGAAACCGGTGTCAGACTCTGTGAGAAGTGCTAAAGACGTGAGCTGAGGTGGTGGGGGTGGGACGGGGTAGATTCAGAGGTGGAATTGGAATTAGTGACTGATTATATTTGCAGTGTGAGGGGGAGGGGGCAAAAAAAAAAATAGACTAGATGACTCACGGGGGGTTATTTGAGACTTGTTGCCCTTATTGAACAAAGATGTGCAGCCTCGGTGTTGGAGAGGACCCTTAAAGGCAAATTCCAGAACACAGCCCCTGCTCCCGCCTCTCTGGCCAGCCTGCAGCCTGGCCCTTTACAAACAGGGACGTCAGTCACTCTGTCTTGACTGGCATCTCCAGTCCTGTCTCTTCACTTCGGTTCTGAGATGGTCACAGCGATTGTTGTGCTTCAAGGAACTGACACGCACCTAGGACACAGCTGACACTCGGTACATAAATAATCCAGGAAACGAGGGCACGAGGTATGGGGGGGGACACCCAATGTGACTTCTGTGGGTCTAGAGCATATGCGGCGTTTGTGCTGACACGGTGCTTGTTGGAGGCATGTCAGATGCCAGATTCGAACCCTCATCCCGGGGAGCTGGCTGCTTGTGCACTGCAGCCCGGGTTGGCTGTGGACCACAGTCACTTAGAATGTTGGTCATACCTGAGTACTCCAGTAAGCAGCTGCTGCAGGAAGATGAGGTAATGAGGCAGATCACAATGAAACAGGTTGTCTTCTCCTCCCTTTCTGTTCCCCCCCGCCCCGAACCTGCAGAATTCTGGTGGGGGGAGGTGGGCTGTGTGCCCCCCAGGATTTACCCAGGATCCCCGGCGTGCCCGCCCCCTCCCCCATATCCCTGGACTCGTCCAGCTCTCAGCACACACTGCGTGCGGCCGGCTTGCTGGGTGATCACATGGGTTTCTAGCTGCCTCCCCTCTTAGCTGCCGCTTGTCAGCAGCTGGTGGAGCTGGAGGCTGCAGGCCCGTCCGCAGAAACCCTCCTACTCCCGATTAGTGGGGGGGCCCGCCTCTTCTGCTTTGCACCCTCCGACTAACTAAATGGTTGTCCTCCGAAGCCCAAAGGCTGCCACAGCACCCGAGGAGCCCGCCTCTGACTAGGTCATGTCTGCATTTGAAGAATTCAGGTATGTCCCAGGGATTCTGCGTCTGTCTTCGGTTGCTGGGTTTTTGTTCTCGCTGGGTTTTTGTTGTGTAATGACAGCTTAGGCTCTGGCTGCTGCTTACACAAAAAGGGGTTCTCGCCGGCATTTGGTGGGGTCGATCCTGGGTGTGGGAGGGGCCGAGGCGGTCCAGTTCAGGGATGCTGAACACATGCCACAGTGCAGCAGGCAGAATTGGTTTTATCAGGTGCAAATTCGTCAAGACCCCACCTTGTGCCTGCCGTGAGCTGGTGGCTGCTGTGTGGAGTTCAGAAGGGGTCTGTGTCTACCTCTTGTTTTCCTTCCTTTGTCAAACTCATGGAGTCTGTGGCCCTTTGAAGAAATGCCAGTTGTAGCAGGGAGAGTGAGAAATTCTGCAGGTCGTTCTGCAGAGTTAAGATCGGATTTCCCTCATTTTTGATGATCATCTCCTGGTCAGATGGTTTTCTGAGAAGTGTCTTGATGCTGTCTTCTTAATGGGGTCCTCTGCTTTTGTAAGCTTTCCAGCTGCTGTAATTGTTCAGGCTCCAAATTAGAGTCTTTTGTGAATCTTATTCTTTCCCTTCTTCCTTCCTTGTCTTCTCCCGGATTCTGTCCCTGAGTATGAATGTGGGGAGGGTTGTACCGACAGAGATAGTTTCTGAGAAATGAAAATAAAAGAGGCGGATACGAGGGTGATCAGATATCATTCTTCTCCGTGTGTGTGTGTGTGTGTGTGTGTGTGTGTGTGTGTGTTTCAGGCCTCTGACAGCTTCTTGTTTTTCAAATGGAATATCTGAGTCTTTTAGAACGGAGCAGAAATACCCTATCAATGGGCGAAGAGGGATTGTGCGGGAATCTCAGTTCTCCCTCTCCAGGCCTTTTTTGTTCCCTCCAAATGCTGCTGCAATCGAATCAACATGACAGCAGTAAAATGGGATGACCACCCTTTCTGATTTGCAGTCTGGGGAGGAGAGGAGAGGAACCTTCTTCTGAAGTATAACTATAAAGGGGTCCCCGCCCTGTCTGGAAACTTGGTGTTTTGGCTCCAGGAAGTTACCCTTTGTTTTGAGCCTGCCTTGGCCAGATTTCTAAGAGATCCTATTCTAAAAAGGAAGTTCTTTCCATGTGGTGGTGTGGCCAGGCGACATGGAGCCTGTGTCCTTACACAGTGACCAGAGCTGGTTTTGTGGCCGTTCCATTAGATGATTAACAATAATTGATTCACTGCCTTCCATTCTCGAGTCCTGGTGTGGTGCTGTAGGATGCCCACTGGACTGCTAACCACAAGGTCAGTGGTTCAAACCCACCAGCCACTCCTCAGAAATTCTATACGGCGTTTCTAAGAGTAGAAACCTCTTTGATGGTACTTATTTAACGACAAGAAGAACATACTTCTAGAGTGACTAGACCCTTTAGGAATGAGTCAGGAGCCCTGGGTTCTAATCCCAGGAAGAGTTTTGTACATGTTGGAAGTGGTACAATTGTGAAGTTCATGTGTTTTTGTTAATCTTGGAGCTTGGAGCCTTTCATTTCCTAGAGTGGCGGGCATATGCATTAACAAGCTCATTCCCATGGTGATGGTATCCGAGTCCTAGAGCCAAGAGCTGGGGTGATGGAAATGACGAGGGTCGACTTAAAGGCTGATGATCTGCTAAATTGAGGAAGAGGGGCAAGGTTATGGAAGGTAGACCCCAGATTACCTGCCGTTGACTCTGCCCCCATGGCTTTGGGCCTTGCTAAAGCTGGCCCTGAAGCGTGTTGCTGAGTGTGAGTGGATGTGGTTGTGGTTGTGGTTGCGGGATGGCACGGGGCCCGGGAGATCTGTGTGGGACCACGGAAGGGCTGTGAGGTGCTCAGCTTGTTCACCTCGGTCGCAGCCGTTCTCAGGCTTCAGCCTGCATCAGGACCATGTGGGAACTTGCTCAGACTTACGTTGCTGAGCTTTCTGAGTCTGTGAGTCTAGGGTAGACCAGAGACTCGGCATGCCCTGGTGACTCTAATGCTGCAAGTCTGGGGAGCAGACTTTGAGAACCACAGACAATTTGAGTACTGTTGAGACGGGAAGTCTGAGGCAAAGCCAGGAGGGAGGTACAGGTAGGAGAGATGGGATTAGGAAGAAGTAGTTCAAGCGCAGGCAGGTGGGCCAGAGCCAGGCATGCTCACAGGAAGGCTGAATGGTGGTGGAGTGTGTTAGCTGCAGCAGCCCTCCTCCTCCTGAGGTGCTGGGATGAGAATCAGAGGACTTGCTTTCTCACCCTGCTTCCGCCATTGTACCGCCTTGGGGGGCTTGGCAAGTCTCTTGATCTGTCTTTGTTCCAGCTTTCTCCGTTGAAGCTCAGGGATGGTAGTTCTTACCATGAAAATCTGTATTTGCTGTTGATGAAATGGGATCATTAACATCAAAATGACTTTCCACTTAAGACGGTTTTTCCTCCATGACTATAAAGGGAGGAGAAGGCCCTTGGAGGCAGCTCCATCAGCATAGCCACCTATTCATCCAGACCTGTGGGTAGATCACCGCATTCATACATACCCTGACCCGGAAGCACAACATGCCGCATGCATTGTAGAAAGGAAGTCTGATTTTGACTTGGACACTTTGACATGACTTTACTTCCTACTGGACTGTGAATTTCTTGAGAGCTTTCGTGAATCATGTATGTTTTTTCACTGTTTCCTAAGTGCCTAAGACTGCTTGACACACATTAAGGCCTTAATAAGCTGTGGACGTACCTCATCTAAACAGGATTTAGCAGGGAAGGGAATACAAGCTAGTTAGCTAGCTGGGTGCAGGCCTGAGCTTGGGGCCCTGGGACCACCAGGGCCACTGTCTGTGTTGGCTCACAAGAGCATGTTGGAAAGCTGACCACTGGCCTGGGAAAAATGTGAAATGTCTTCAGCATGCCACAATTGCAGCAACGCATGGGAACTCTTGTCAGGTTTCATGAAGAATCGCCGCTGGAACTCAACTCTACAACATAGTGGTAATAGTGCTGATTTGCTGGTGCCCAGGGCCCACACTGAGAACCAGAGAAGTTGGGCCAGCATTTTCCAACTGATATGGGGATAGATCTATATATCTATATCTATATCTATCTATCTATCTATCTATCTATCTATCTATCTATCTATCTATCTATCTATATTTTTTCCTACCCACTGGCTGTATCGTTCTAACACCAGACAGGCTGTTCTAGGGGACTGTTGAGATAGATACAACTTTACGTGTGTTTCTCCCTTTTTTTCTTGTTCACACTTCCTCAGACAGAATACGTACTGAAAGCTGATGGGTTCAACACACATTTACATGTTAATTCAAGTGCCAACTAGTGCTCTGACTTTATTAGTTCAAATGTATACCTAGTCTTGGGAAACATTAGTTTTGGTGTCCCTTCACTGGAATGGTGTTATAAACAAGTGGTATTGGCGAAGTCTTGACGTTTGAACACTTAGAGAGCCCACCCACCGAGCTTTGTCTCTCATTTCCCAGGGCTCAGTGACCCATTAAAGACACCATTTTAGGGACGTTTGGGTTCCACACTGTGGTGACGAAATAAGCCTCAGATGAGTAGGACCTGAAAGCTGGCGGGAGCCGGAAGGTCAAAGTCAAAGGTCATTGGGTGCCTCCTGTGTACCAGGCGTATTTCTTCCCTTCCCGGGGCCTCTGCACTGGCGTTCCTCAGCCTGGAACGTCTTATCCCTGTTGTCTTCTGCTCTGTGGTCAAGTGGTGCATCTTGCTCTTGGATTACTCTGCCCCACCTGGCACGCTCCCCGCTTTCTCTGTGTATCACACACCACTAGCTCCGTAGGGTAGATGTTCCTTTTCCATTTGTTTACTGGTTGTCTCCTGTAGTAGACTAGAAGGCCCTAGGAGACAGATTCTGTTTCTCATAAATCTAATGGCACTCATGGTGGTGTCCCCAGGGCCTTGCAACAGTGGGTGTCTAAGTTCTCTAGTGCTATGATAACAGATAAGCACAAGTGGATCGTATTTATTTAAACAGGAATTTATTGTCTCACAGTTAGGAGACTAGAAGTCCGCACTCAGGGTGCTGGCATGTGGGAAGTCTCTCTCTCTCTGTGTCAGTTGAGGTTTGTCTTTGTCTCTTCAGCTTCTGCCTCCTGGGTCCTTAGAGGTTAAGTCTCTGTGTGTATTTGGCATCTGTCTCCCCCATCTCTGCTCTGCTCACTTGTTTAATCTCTTTTATATCTCAAAAGAGATTGACTCTATGAATTGTGCCTCATTAGCATAACAAAGACAGCTTACTCCCAAATGAGATTATAGCCTCAGGCATCCCAACCCACTGCCTTCAAGTCATCTCTGACTCAGAGCAATCCTGCAGAGCTGAGGAGAACTGTTTGGGAGGATTGCTCAGGCTGTACGCTCTGGTGGCATAGTGGTTACTCGTCGGGCTGCGAACCTCAAGGTCAGCAGTTCGAAACTACCAGCAGTTCTGTGGGAGAAAGATGAGGCTTTCTGCTCCCATAAAGATTTACTGCCTCGGAAACCCTGTACAGGGTCACTATGGGTCAGAACCAACTCCATGGCACATAATCACCACCACCTGTTCTTTACAGGAGCAGACGGTCTCATCTTTCTCCTGAGGGCAGTTGGGTTTGGACTGCTGACCTTGTGGTTAGCTGTCCAACACTTAACCCATGGCACCAGGTTTCCTGAAGCACAAGCATGGAGATTAGGACTTAAAACACTTGTTTTTAGGAGGACATAGATTCATTCATACTTGTTGGCATATAGTAAATACTTATTGATGAAGATCAAAGACCACAATGTAAAGAAGACAAAAATTCT